CTGATGGCCCGTGTCTTCTCTGCCTGCAGGGCCATGTCGGTCTCCAGCATCCGGTGGGTCTGCAGCAGCTCCTCGGCCTCCAGAAGGTGCTTCCCAGATTCCGGTGACGCCAGTTGCACCTATGGAAGAGCTCCCAATGCCAGCTCCAGCAGCAGCAGCCCAGCATCTCATCGGCGTCACAAGGTGAGTCCCACAAACACCCTGACTGGTGGGACCAATGCACCCACCCCACGGTGGCATCCAACCCACAGTGGCATCCAGCCCATGGCAGCATCCAGCCAATGGTGGAATCCGACCCACAGTGGGACCCTATCCATGGTGGCACCCATGGTGATACTTAATCCATGGTGGACCCAACCCACAGTGGTACCCAAGCCATAGTAGCACCCATGGTGATACCCAACCCATGGTGATACCCAACCCATGGTGACACCCAACCCATGGTGGCACCCATGGTGATACCCAATCCCTGGTGGCACCCAACCCATGGTGACTCACCTTGACCTCATCCATCCAGTCAATGCAATGGAGCATCTCCTGGAAGAGGTGCTGCAGGGTGAGGTTCATCTCCAAGCGCTGCCGCCGGGCAGCCAGAAGCTCCTGGAGCTGCTCCCAGAGCCGCAGGATGTTGTCCTTGCGCTTGTTGATGCGCTGGATGTCGTGGTACCCCTCTGCCTCCAGCTCCTTGGCCACCGCCTCGATGGCTTGTACAAAAATCGTGGTCTGTTCCCCTCTCCTAATAGGCAGCCGTGTCCGTCTCAATGGCCTCGTGCTTCTTCTTGGCCGCCTCCACCGCAGGCAGGTCATGGCCAAAGTTGTCCTGCCCATCACAAAGCCCATGGTGAGGCTCCGGCTGGGTGTCCCGTTCCCCACGGTGGCTGTCCCCAGCCTCACCTGTGCCACCAGGCGCTGGTTCTCGCTCAGCCAAGCCTCCCTCATGGCCGCTTTGCGGTCGAAGCGCCGCGCGAGCTGCTCCAGCTTCTCCTGCCGGATGAGCTCGTTGCGCAGCGCCAGCTCCCGCTCGTGTTCCGCCTTCTCCAGCTGCTCCCAGGCCTGTGAACAGGGATGGCACCAGTGTCCCCCCGCAGACCACCACCCGCCCGTGTGGCTTGTTCTGCTGGGGAGCCCCAGGGTGGCACATGGGTGGTGGGACGCAACCTGCCCTGGGATGGACCGGACGGCCCCAGGGTGGACTGAATGGGCCCTGGGATCGACCTAAACTGTTCTGGGATGGACCCAAACTGCGCCCAGGAGGTGGACCCAAACTGCGCCCAGGAGGTGGACCCAAACTGCTTTGGGATCCATCCTAAGATGGACCTGAATTGCTCTGGGGTGGACCTAGATTGGCCCAGGAGGTTGATCCAACCTGCCCCCAGGAGATGGACCCAACCTGCCTTGGGACCCATCCTAAGATGGAACTGAATTGCTCTGGGATGGACCTGAACTGCTGTAGGAATGACCCAGCTTGACCTAGGAGGTTGACCCAACATGCCTTCAGACCCATCCTAGGATGGACATGAACTGCTCTGGGGTGGACCCAACTTGCTCCAGGAGACGGACCCAAACTGCCTTGGAACTCATCCTAAGATGGACTTGGATTGCTCTGGAATGGACCCAGCTTGACCCAAGAGATGGATCCAACCTGCCCTGGGACAGCCTGGTGAGTAAAGCCACCAGGGATACCAGGAGAAAAGCTGTCTCCAGGTCACAGGGTGCCATGGGAGCAGCCATGGGATGTCCTCATACCCGGTTGATGTCGGACACCAGGCGCCCTTCATGTGGGGTGTAGACACGCTGGTTGTTGGCTCTCATCCGTGACTGGATGGTGAAGAGCAGCACCTCCAGGTTCCCCTTCTCCTGAAACCTGCCCAGAGGAGAAAGCTGAGGCTGGGGCACCCATGGGTGCTCCACACCACCTCATGGGCACGGTGGGGCTGGGGGACACTCACTTGGGGGGCTTCTCCACGGTGCGGTAGGTGCTGAAGGCCTGGAGCTGGTGCTGCACCCCAGCCAGTGAGTTGGCAAAGCTGCGGCTGTTGAGGGAGGCGATGGTCTGCTCAATCCAGGTGAGAAGGTCCGAAGCCAGCCCTCCGTAGCCCTCAATCATCCTCTCGGTCTCCTTGGCATGCTCAATGACCTGTAGTGGGGATGATGATGAGTCTGGTGGGGTGCCGGCACAGCAGCAGAACCCATTCCACCTCACTGCCACCCCTTACCTTGCCCAGGCGCCTGCCCTCCACCTCCAGCACCTTCATCTTGGAGAAGTAGTGGTAGAAGGCCACCACGTAGGTGATGATGGACTTCTCATCAGGGTTCTCCGTGAATACATCTGCTCGGCATGAGTGAGAAGCCTCAGTCCTGACCCGGCATCAATGGGCCACCGCAGCCTCAGGAGGCCTCCTTTTCTCCCACCCAGACCCTCCTTCCATGGGGTTGGAAACCTCTCTGTCCTTCCACATGGGCCTGGACATGTCCCAGGGTGTAATAGGGAGCTGAGGCAGGAGAGGTGGCAGCAGGAGCTCACCTTCAGGGTCAAGCAGTGGGGTGATGCCAAGGTGCCGCTCGGCCACACTGAACGCGTGCTCCAGGTTGTGCCGCGCGTTGGATTTGGTCAGGTTTTGGAAGTCAACCAGCTCAGGCCTGGAGACAAAGGAGTGGGACAGTGGTGATGCACCCACGGGACACCCCCCAGGTGCCACCACCCTCCTGGGACATCGAATCATAGAATGGTTTGTGTTGGAAAGGACCTTAAGATCATTCAGTTCCAACATCCCGGTGCCCATCTACCTGTGCCTGTGGATGAGGGCGTTGAAGGCCAGCCCATCCTTCCAGCTCGAGGTGAAGTTGGTGACGTTGACATGGGGGTACCTGTGATGGGGGCAGGATGTCACTGTCACCCTGTGGTCACCCCATGGTCACCCCAGGTCCCCAGCACACACCATGTGTCCCACCACCTACCCCGCTGTCTTCATCTGGCACCAGAGCAGCAGCGCATCCCGTGCAGAGCGTGTCTCCCGGCCCTCCTGTGTCTCCACAATGATGTCCTGGATCTGGGGGCAAAAGGACGTCTCAGGTTGGATGAGGACATCCATAGAGGAGGGATCCTGCTTGGGAATGATCCATGGGGTGCTGAGCTGAGAGGTGCCCCCCCAGGCTCACCTGGAAGCGCAGGATGATGGTCCAGATGAGGCCGAGGACCAGGCGGTGGTTGCCATCCACGATGTCATGCGAGCCCATGTTCTCCAAGTGCACCCTCTGCTCCTTCAGGAACTGCAGCGCCTTGTCCACGTTCTCCAGCGAGTGGATGCGCATCCGGCCCCGCGTCGGCTTGGGCTGGAGGAGAGCCCATCCCCCGCCTCGGAGAGGGGCCTTCACCCCCTCCCCGGGGACCCCCCTGTCCCCCGGTTGCCACCACAACCCTGATAGAACCTTGATCAACACCAAGGTCAAGAGCCTTGATAGGGCACGGGATGGGTCCCGGGGTCTCCATCTGCATAGAAGTCCTACCAGAAGTTCTCCTGACAGCACCTCCAGCAGCTTGATGAGCACTCGCCCGTCCCGGAGGTCCATGTAGAGGTCCGAGATGCGACAGGTCACACGAGCCAAGTGCGAGTTCACCCACTTGGTGAAGGTTTTCTTCTGCACGGCCTCCCTTTCATCTGCAATGAGGGCGGGTTCAGCGGCACCAGCAGCGAGGAC